CAAATTAAGGCAAGTTGTGCAAGAATGCAATACGTGTGTAAAAATCCAGGTATGCATAGATGTAAACTTTGTGAAGAATTATCAACTCATGTCACATTTCCGAGCATTCTTGATCCCGCCCTTTTCCAGAGTGCCTGCTTCTCCTCTGGTTTTGCGTGAGTTTCTGTACCGATCCCCAGCTGTATGACTGTGCGTTCCAATTACCATATCTACCATACCGGTCTTCTGCTTCTCTGCTAGGACAGCTCCTTCACTCCTGCTTGTACAAATATTTGACCCCAACCTTCCCTACTGTCATACTGCCCTGTCTGCCCTGCAATTGGACCTCCAGCTCCTAAGACCTTTCGTTACATTTATCAGATACATCTTTGTAAATTACATAGCAGCAATCAAAAATATGTTCCCATTTTTCTGACTCAACCTCCTGTGTCTCAGTGATGATGGTCCCGGACTACAGGGCGCTGTGGCAGTTCAGACGTATGATCATCTGCATGATGCCCAGCAGTAGGCCTCTGCTGGACTACACAGACTACGGCTGTTACTGTGGAAAGGGAGGCGCTGGGACACCCGTGGATGACCTGGACAGGTCAGGAGTCACAGAGGGAGGAAACATACAGGAGTGTGTGCCTGTACTTATATCACTCAGGCTGGCTGTGGGTGGGACCAGTCAACACCCATGCGGTGCCCTAGGCAGGCCCTGCTAACAAAGTGAAAGTGGCTTGTTAAGTCGGCAGCCCCTCAGAAGATGTTGCCCTAGGTGGCCACCAACGTTGTCTAATGGATTGTCTGGCACTGTATTAGTCTTCTCAGAACTAATTTTATCTAGCAACTTACCAAGCTAATTTAAACAGTTTAACCTACATTTTTTGGGAGTTAAAGGGAACTTGGCAGTCTGAGGATGCTGAGGACAGCCAGGACTAGGGTTGGGGTGCATCACTCCCCCACATGCACTCCTGGACATGTTCAGTTACCAGCCCTGTGACTGATCAGTGTGGCTTCTTCACAGTGATATTCTGTCTGATGAGCAGAGCTGCACAGCTGAGGGCTCATTCTTTGCCTCTCCAGGTGTTGCCAGACCCATGACCACTGCTACTCCCAAGCCAAGCCCCTTGGGGGCTGTCTGCCCATTTTGGACAACCCGTATACCGAGAGCTATTCGTACAGCTGTGACAAGACAAACAAGAGCATCACCTGCACAGGTAGGAGTCTCTGCTGTCATGTGACCCTCTCAGCTCCCCAAGAGTGTACCCGTGCACTGCTTTACTCAGCAAGTCTCCCTTCTCCCTAATAGAGAAGAATAATGCCTGCGAGATGTTTATTTGTGAATGCGACAAGCATGCAGCCATGTGCTTTGCTGGGGCGGGCTACAACAAGGAGCACCAGAACATGAACCAAGAGCTCTGCGAGTGAGCCAGTCAGCAGCTCCATCTCATCACAGCTTGTATGTCAGTCCTTTTCATGTGAAACACGGTGGGTGTGGGACCCTTGTACTCAGCCAGTGAGCGAGAAAGAAAGAAATTTGCAATAATTCTTACAGAAATGCTAACACTGTCATCTGAGTTTGTCCTGGAGAGACGTGAAGACACCAGGATGGAGAGAAGTGTAGAAAATGAGGCACTGAATCCACCCACACAGCTTGTATGTTTTTTTTAATTGCAATCTTTCCAAACATTGTATAAATACTGTTGATATCATTTGCAATGTACTGAAACATAGGAAAGCGTTAACTATTTGACATCCATCTTCAAAAGCCATTTCTAGTTAGTAAATAAGGTTCAGAAATAAACAGCTGAAGTGTTAATCTTGAGTCAATGAAAAAACAGCCCTACACAGAATAAATTTTAGTATACAGTACAAAGCAAAATTCCAGAATCACAGTCATTCTTAAAAGAGGTGGATAGTTCACATCTAGAAAGTAAAAATCCAGACCAAGATTTTATTTCAACCAACTAGTTGAGTACTCTGTGACTGTGACTCCTCATGATCAACTGGTTGGTTGTAACAAAGTCTTGGTCTGGATTTGTACTTTCTGGACCTGAACAATCCACCTCTGATTCTTAATAACAGACAGTTTTATCATTTAGAATTGATTGTCTGCTGTGTAATTTCTGAGTACCAATGGATAAAAATGCAGACAAATAATTTCCTGGATCCTCTGAGCACTGTGCTGTCCTAGGGAGGCCAGTGTGCCAGGCTAATTGGCTGGCATCTCACAGATGTACTTATAAAACAAGCTGCACTCTGCATCGTTCCACAGCCCGCTGCCATGAAGCTGCCCACAGTCTTCCTGCTGAAACCAGTTATCCGGTTGGCCAGAATCCCAAAACCTGAGAGCGAATGTAAGAGAGAGAGGGAATGCATGACGTACCCTGCATAGGGTGACCAGGTAATCCATGGCAAGGGGACACTGTCAGCTACTTCAGGTTTTACAAACCACTTTTAAACTGAAAGGCTCATATACTTTGTTGAATATTTCAATTCCTCTTGTGCTTTTACTGGTTTGTTTCCTTGATTGAAAGACTCATCCAGCTGTTTCACATTAACATTAGTGACACATGCATGATTATAGGAGACTGACCAATCAGCACACAGCAAGAACTCAGTGCTTAAGTGACATCCAGGTCCTGTTTATTGAAATGGTAGCTTACAAACCCTGTCCTAGCTCAGTGTCCCCCTGACATGGATTAGGTGGTGACCCTCCCCTAACCCTGCAGAACGGCCCTGTTACCATGTGACTGTGTGTCTCTGAGCTGTAAATAAATTCCTCATACATGCTAAATCCTTGCAGGTGATTCTGACTGTGAATCTGATACAGCTACATTTGCAGTCTTTTTTTCTCCAAGTAAATAAGTTCTTACATTTGCAAAAATTAAACATTTTAAGAAGTTACAGAAATCCCATACTTTATTCAAATAAGGCACTGATTATATAGTATTTTCATTTCTGTATGCTTCATGCTAATAGCACTTTGAGGTTTGTCTCTCAGGTTAGCGTGAGTTATGTCAGTGGAATCCAGATCCAGCATCCAGCCCAGCACTTCCACTACTCCCAGCTCATCTCTCCCACACTGTGCCTCACCTGAGCATTGAGATCACCTGCTGGTAATTAGACCGCAGATATACTTTCCCAGTTCCTGCCTTGAGGTTCCGTGTGATTGTCGCCATGACTGAGCCTTCCCTGCTTTTGCTTGGCTGCCTCTTCCTGACCTCTTTGTCTTTTGCCGTCTCTGATTTCAAACTTTGTTTAGAAGCCTATTTGCCTGCCTGTTTTTGACCAGTTTCCATTATCTTCTCTGTGTCTGGGTTTTCAGCTTGATCTCTGTTGGCTTGCCTGGGTTTGACTCCTGCTTCCTGGATTGTGGATTGTACACTATATGGACCAAAGTATTGGGACGTGCCTCTTAATCACTGGATTCAGGTGTGTTATTCAGACCCATTGTCAAAGCACCTAGCCATGCAGTCAAGTTTTTCAAAAATTTCTTTAAGAACGGGTTTTGCTGAAGAGCTCAGTGAATTCAAGCATGGTACTGTCATAGGTGTCATACTGTCACTTTTGCAATAAGTCAGTTTGTGAAATTTCTTCCCTGCTAGATAATTCATGGTCGACTGTAAGTGGCATTATTGTGAAGTGGAAGCGTTTAGGAACAACAGAAACTCATAAAGTAACAGAGCGGGGTCGCCGAGTGCTGAGGCACATAGTGTGTAAAAGTCGCCAACACTCTGTTGACTAAACAATGACGCTTCTCTATCTGGCAGATACCTGGAGAACACTACCTGATTGCATTGTGCCACCTGTAAAGTTTTCTAGAGGAGGGATAATGGTATGGGGTTGTTTTTCACAAGTTGAACTAGGCCCCTTAGTTCCAGTGAAGGGAACTCAATACTTCAGCATACCAAGACATTTTGGACAATTCTATGCTTGAGGGGGCTGCCCTGCCCATCAGCTCACTTTGGGGTTGTGGTAAAGTCAGTGCCATCCACCCAGCTCCACTTGTCCTCATTTTCTCTCTCCACCAGCCCAATCCAAAGTTGCTCCGCAAGGTCATTTCTACTTATGAACTTCTGGGAAGCAGGAAGGAAGGGTACACATCATCCAACAGGCACCAATGTGACACTCACACCTACTTGCTAATTTGCTGTACATAAAAGATGACGTTCCTGTGCTTTGTGCATGACAGTGAGCCCTGATTGATAACAGACGCCTGGATGGGATGCAGGGCTAACACACTCACACACATACACATATACACAGTCACACTACCTGAAGGAAACTCACAAAAACATGGGGAGAGAACCCAAACTCTGTAAATAGATTAATTATTTCTACTTTCATTGTTAATATTGCCATGTATGTTTATTCAAGGTGGAAGTTTAAAAGGGTGCGTATTTCATTGGACCACAGAGATATAACAGTATGCCCCAAACCCCCCCATGGCAGCTCTGTGCCCCTTACCTGCTCCTCCGCATCATTGATGACGATCAGGTGCGCCCCCATCTCCACGCACTTCTTCTCAGCGCCTTCCCACGACAGCTTCTTGCTGGAGATCTGGTAACAGCTGCTCCGGAAGGACACCCAGCTGTCTTTACAGGAGCCTGGGGGCAATGGAGGGGGGAGGGCAGAGCCAGAGCCAGAGCTTTTACAGTGGGGCAGCCAGACTCAACCCAGTGATTTTACTGGAGTGGCAATGGGGTAAGCCTAAACCCAACATCCAAAGACAGTGACAATGTGGTGAAAATGACAAACATCACAACATTCACAGCGGAATTAACAATTTTAAGGCCCCTCAGCCCAGCAAAAAGGGAAAAAAGTGCACATGAATATACGTTGTCATGTCTTTAATTCTTTTTGGATAATATGTCACACAGCTAAAATGGCTTGCATACAGACTCTGGAGTGTACAGTAACGATCAAAATTAGGGAACAAGTAACATTTTATCATTTACAATATTGCTGCTTATCAAATCTCAAAGTATTTTTAACATAAAGAGATGTATTTTAATCATATATTATCAGTGAAACCACATCACAAAATGAAAGGTTTCAACAAGAGATTCAAAAAATGTCTGTGATCAAAATTAAAGTATTACAATTACAACAATTTTTAAATTGTCAACTATTTTTGATGGTAACAACTTTCAGAAACATTCCCTGCATGTTCCCAGTTTTCCCCTTGTAGGTTTTTTTGGCTCTGTTAGTTTACGTCAACCCCTTGTGGTCTGTTTTGTTTATAGTGTCCCCAGATCTGTAAATAAACCCCCGTTTTGCGGAGCCGTTAGTGGATCGTCACCTTCTTCTCCTGCCAGCACCGTGTCTCGCCCCGTAACGATTTTGTATTTCATAGAGACGATACTGAGCAGTTGACTAACTTGTCAGCACTGCTTTGTATCTGCTGGTACCACCAACTTATTCGAAAGACTTTGTTGGTAGGTTCTGTTTGGTAGGTTCTGTTTGGCTATATAGTAGTTGAGTATAATTTTCAACTCTTAAATATGGCAAAACTTCATCGTTTGTACTCTTATGTAAGATAATGCGGCTACATGACAGGACTAACCTTTCTTTTAGCAGCGATTGTTTTGACATAGAGAAATCGCAGAAAGTAAATTAAATTATTTGACTCAAAGTCAAAGTGATGACAAAGTCAGGCTAGGCTACTCTGAGGGGCTAAATTCACATACCTATGGCTAACCTCGCATTATTGGGTGAGTCCATCAAACCCGAATGTGTTCTTTTGTATTTGCATTACAGTCGTGCTATGGTGATATGTAAGTTATGCTCTACAATATTGACAGATGGATGTTTTCATTCACTTTTAATATGAAGCACTTCCACACAGCTAATGGTTTTTGCTCTGTTTTCTCCTTCATCCGCTATGCAGACTCCCTTCCACCATATTGCAAAGTAATCGAGAAGAAAAAAATAGATTAATAGATACTTTTAAATAATCAAGTAATCAAGCTTATTCAAGCAATTGTGGCAGTTGTAGTTCTGACACTCATTATCGTCCACCTTGCCATGTAGCATGTGAAAGGTCTGACTCCACAGCAAAGGGCAAGTCTAGCCTTTTCAGTCTTCTTGCTGCTGAGTGGCTTGGTCACCGCAGAGTGGGCTTTCAGTCCATATTGTCCAAGACAATGACGCCCTGTCAAGACAAATTCTTGCCCTGTCCAGCACTGAACTGGTGAGCAATTCCAGCTGTGGTGTTGAACTGAACCCCCCAAGATTCTCCTGATCATCCCGTTCTCTCACATGCTCATCTTATGTGGACGACTGGCCTTTTTTGGAACTTGAGTTAGTTCCTTTTACAGCTGTAATATTTAAGAACTGAAGCACGTCTCTCTCAATACCTAAGGGAGTCATCCCTCAGCCCTCATCTAAACAAGCTGATGTCACCTTGGAGAGTCTCACCATCACGTGAAATGCCTACTAATGTTGCCGGATTGGGGTTGCCAGATAGTTAAAGATATTTCAGATTAGAACCAAAAACTGTCAAGTTTAACAAATCATCCTCTGAGTACAGACCTTCAAATTTCTTGTATAACTTTTTATTTTGTGATGTGCGATAGTTTTCACTTTGTAAAAGACACTGTGGGGTAAAAATACTACAACAAAAATATCATTTATTGTATTATTCTTACCTTGTCCATTAGTCAGTCCACCGGTGTAATGCTCTGTTACGACAGAGTGACAGACAAAGGGATCAGGCTCAGTGTGTGGATGGGTGACAGATGCATAGATGGATTCATGTGTCATTACGAGGGGATTCGCTGCTGCACCTTTATGAGTGTACTCTACCTTGTACCTCTAATGACTCTGTGTAACACTAACTACTTAGGTGGAATATTTTACTTTAAGCTTGCACAGGCTTAAAGGTGCTCTGGTTGAAAAAGCGAAATCAACAAAATCCAGCAAAACTCCTTCACAGCAGAACAGTTTTAAAATGATTTGGTGCAAAACTCATAGTCTCCTGGCATGTTGCACATGAACTGTAGATGCGGCAAGCATGCTGAGAGTAATTTCCACGCATTCACAAACCTGCTTTGGGAGGTGCTTCCTCTACGTGTAACAGTGAAGCATTGATGGAGATGAGGAAGAGCTTCACCCCCAACATCTCCTGGTTTAGCTGGGAGACTGCGGGATGCAATGGTCAGGGGAGCGAGGTTAGTAAAGTGAGGAGCAGAGAACCGCAGATGTACACAAAAAGGGCAACAAGAATCGCTGCAATCAAACCGTACATTTAACTGCAGACACCAGCAGCAGGACCAGCAGCAGGAATAATACAATTGAGTACAGCAGAATCATCAACTTCACACGCCTGCCTGTAGGACAAACAAAAAGAGAGAGGGGTCTTTCTGTACATCCTTCTCAAAACAAGCCTGCACTGCTGGTGGCCAAAATAAAGTTTTATGCAATCCTACCTGGACATAGCGTGAACTTTGGTCCCGGAAAACTGACATCTGGGTCAGACCCACTGAACCTGTTGTATGGTGCTGAATCCATCACTGAATCTTCACTGAGGCCTGTGCGATTTTTCATCACTGTAGGTTGTTTAAGACTCTTGGGGACAAAACTGCATTCAGATGTCTCTCTCTCTCCAGATGCTTTGATTGCATTAAAACCAGGGGAGGGATTAGGTGAAAATGAGACAAATCAGTGCAAATCAGTATAGAGTCGACCTGTAATCCTGCTTCAAGGACATTGCTCATCTGTAGTAAATATTAACTAGCCAGACCGATTAATGTCTGGGAAAGTCAAATCCACAGCTGGAAATCATTCATTACAAAATATTCTTGTTATAATAATAATAATAATAATAATAACAATAATAATAATAATAATAGAACCACCACCCAGACAGAAACATTTGCTTCTAATTGTATAGGACAGTTTAACAATTAGGTATCCCTACTCACAGATCTGTCACATATAAGGCTGATCTTGTTGCCTTTCGCCACATCAGCCTTTGCATTTCTTTTAAATAAATAAATTTAAAAATATTTAAAATAAAAAAATATAAAGCAAAGGATGTAAATTTTTTCAACATTTTGTAGAATAACACCAATGATCTTTGACGGCAATATGTTGTTCCTATTAACTGACAGAAATGCTGGATTCCTTTATAATTCTTCTCTACTTACCTTCTAAACTGTCTGTGTCCGACCATCCGCGGCCCGTTTGCTCAAGGCTGTACTGCTCAGATCTTCTTTATGCCCCCAGGTCCTCTATCTATACATGTGACAATCAAGGCGAACGTTTTCTGAGAAATGTGCCCATAACAGAGAGGTACAATGCTGCTAGACCCCCTACTCCCCTAATTGATTTTCCAATAATGTTACTGGGATTTTTACTGGGATCCCTCATATTTACTGCTTACTGCATAAGTGTTGCCAACTTTACTCAGCTGGCTGGCGTGAGATTTTCAATTCGAGACAATTAGTCAACACACTCATTTACATGTATATAATAGTTTTGTTACCTTGTAAATAGTCCGCTTGGTTTGCAAACTACCCCGACGCTTTTGATACAACTAATTTTAGGCTTATAATGGAATAATATAGATTTGCCGTAAGATTTCTTGCGTGTGCGTGACAGTCAGAAACCGTGTCACGCCAGATATGTGAAAGTTGGCAACCCTGTTTATTGGTTTTTGTGTTTCGTGACTGTTGTACCTGCTTGTGTTTGGACTATCGATTTGTCTTTGTTTGCCTCTATCTATTTTCTACCATTTGTCATACTTTCGACTACGATTCAGGAAATATACGTATTTTTTACTGGACAAAGACAGTTGAAAATGTCTGATTTATTAAAGCTGGCACCCATGGGCGTAAATTATGGGGGGATGGGGGTGGTTGTAGCCCCCCCAATAAATCAAAACCAACTAATACACCACCCCCCAATAATAATGTTTCCCCCGTAATGGGTGGAGACCTCAACCCCCCAATGTTCCAGCCAAAGTTACGCCCTTGCTGGCACCCTATCGGGGATGGACACAGTTGTGATAAAAGCCGACCCGTTTCCTCTGGAGAGGTGCGTTGCCCTCCACACCAGTAGGCGGCAGTAATGCTTAGAGTCGCAGGTCTTTTGGCGACGATGAAGGAATAAACCCGAACTTCCTATCCAGTGTCCGATCGATTGAAGAGAAGATGGCGGCGTTTAGGCGTCTGTCTCAGGCTGTTCTGAGGTCCTCTTTCAACCAGAGTCGTCAACTATCTGCGGTTGCCCATGGCGAGCAGCACCAGTCTGGTGCGTATCGCGTTTTAAGGCCGAGGGTTAAGTTTAATCCATTTGCGAAGGTTTTAGTTGCGAGATGCGATAGTGTCATCTGCTCTAGTGTGACCTTGCTAGCCAATGTTTTAAGGGACTAATGATTTGATATCGGGCCATAGTTTGCTTTCAACTAAATAGCACCACAAATCAACCTTATTACCTGCAGTTTTATAAACAGAATTGCTCCTTCGGGGTTTTTGTCTGGTATTAATGACGTAGCTTAGGCCTTCCGTATAATGATTTGCTTTTCACTTCATTTTGCGAATTCGGCGGATGGGGGTGAAAATGATCCGTCCCTGGCCGTTATGATTGGTTTTGTGCAGCACGTGCTGAAGTATCTTTGTAAAATTACCAGTTTTTAGGCTATTTTCATTTGGTAAGTAGTTTTACTGATCATGAAACTGGTAATTTGAGCTGGTAACCATGTAATGTCTGAGGCAGTGTGTTTAATTTAAACCTGGATGACTTCCGTATACATTTTTCCAAATACGTTTAAGGCTCTGACCTTCTAGGAATGTTTTTTTGTAACGCATGCGCTTTACAGTCTGCCTAAGCACTAAATATGGCATTGAATGATGGTCTGGAATTCAATGCTGTCGGTATGTCCTTAGAGGTTTAAAGAAGTACTTTTAATACATAGGTGGTAGTTTTATTTGAATAGAACAGTGTGTTTACTCTTTTCTCAGTGTTCATTGGAGGGTTTTGGCAGTAAGGATAACCATTCAAATTGAATGTTGTTGATGAGAGCAGAGGGCAGGGAGATGGGTGAATTGGGGCTGTGTGGAATAATGTTGGTTAACTCCACTGGTTGCTTAAGTGCCTTACCAGATTCCTGTTTCTCTTTGCCTACCAGGCCGCACATGGAAGATACTGAGCTTTGTTGTGGCCCTGCCAGGAGTGGGGGTGTGCATGCTGAACGCGTTCCTCAAGGCTCAGCACCACAGCCATGACCAGCCCGAGTTCACCCCCTACACCCACCTGCGCATTCGCAGCAAGGTCAGCCTTTCAGCAGCTTCTGCTCTTAGCCCACAGTCATGGACATTGCTCTGATTGTGGTCCGTGAAGAATATGCAGCCTTTGCTGTGAAGGGTTTGCTAAACATCAACTGCTCCACAACCCGGTGGTGTTAAGGGAAGACTAATTAAAAAGGCTTTGTGGTTGCAGATTAATTACTGATAAATTGTTTGTTACAGGTGTTTTTCGGCTCCATTTCTGTGGATGCTTAAATTCGGCCGTTGGCTTTTGCTGATTCCATTGTGCCGTTAAAGCCATGGATCCTGTCCCTGGCCAGAGATGTAAATACTAATGCCGCTTTCTCTCCTGCCCTTGCACAGCGCTTTCCCTGGGGTGACGGGAACAAAACTCTGTTCCACAACTCCCACGCTAATCCCCTCCCTGACGGATATGAGGGCCATGACCACTGAGCGTCTGAGGAATCAGCCCCCGCGTGTGGGACCAGGAATCCTGGGCCTAATGACCAGAATTTGACTAGGCCACCTTGTACTGTTTAACCCTCTGAAATGACCTCTCTGCTTCAGTGCACTAAATATCGGGCACCATATGCAGTCACATCATACTGGACCATTGAATTCAATGTTCTCTTAAGCCTGTCTAATAAAGATTACTTAAATTGCTGTTTGTTTTCTGAATGAAATGCACACCTTTTAAAATGTAATTTCTATATAGTTGGAATTTCAGTATACAATTATACAAAGTACACAGAGGTGTAATGTGTTGGACAGTTTTGAATGGGCAGCACTGTAATTTGGATGCGGTAAAGTATGAGGTGCGATGAGCCACATCGGCGTTTCTCTGTCGCGAAATGAGCTCGATGCAAATACCGGAAAAGCCCGCTGCTCTAATTGTCCCTGCTCGCTCACCGTCGTTGGCAGGATGTTTTCACATGACTTCGCTTGTGATCCGCATTACTTAACTGCTCGGTTTTAAGTCTCCGGATGACTGAAAAGAACAGGGAAATGGATGAAAGGAGCCGTTTTTAAATTTTATGTGACAGAGTTTTGAAAAGAAAAACGCGTTTACATTTCTGCCTGGAACTTGTTGATTTCCTGTTAATGCCGCGAATCGTTGGGTCACAAAAAGGTAAATAAGGAATTGTTTTTTTTTTCCACCAAGTCACTGCAAAGAGCTCATCCTAAAAGTTTACAAATGTCCTCGATGTGTTTTTGTCGGGCTGCCCTGTCTATCAGACTTGTGTCTTATAATTATGTGGGACTGATAGGTCGTTGTTCCCTTATGAGGAAAAAGCAACTGTTTTCTAAACGAAGTTTGCGGCAGTACAGCTACTGGTTGCAAGACAAACATTTAAATGAGATTACAGAGGTAATAATCAACTGATATCATTATTAATAGAGTTTCTTTTGTAGAAAAAGTGTCCTCAGGTGAAAGCAAGTGCTTTTGCTCTATGTGGTTTTTTTTGTAGTTCACTATGCGGGAGTGTCTAATTTCTTCTTTCCATAAAAACTTACTCAACCTGTAACGAGGGATTTTTTTTTTCCTGATCCCAGTAATGACACTAAACGTGTACTTATTGTCCATTTCTATTTGCGATAGATATTGGGATGATTAATGGATGATTTAATGGTATTTCTTTACGTCATACACCATTTAGAGCAGACTCGTTAAGCCTTCGTAACTTTTTTAAACATATATGTGAAGTACATCTGGTTGACGGTTGACAGCTGTTGTGCGATTATGGCCGTCTTGACAAGAACGTAAGGGATGGAAGATGGGGAGATGGCGCGGAGCAAAGCAGGGCTGCCTGTAAACCAATGAGAGTGACTGCTTCCTGTCCATGATGGCTGAGTCCACCACACTCGAGCCCAGGTGGTAAGAAGACCACGGTCAGAGGAAATAGTACAAAGCTGTAAAGGAAGATTGTGTTTTTTGATATTAAGTAAATTCACTATGATGACTTGTGTTGTAGTAGATTTTGTTTAATCTTCTCTTCAATTATTTATTGTAAAATCTTTGAATTTGTAGGTGCAGTTACTTCTTTCTGTATGATGGGTCAAAGGTCACAGAAGAAGGTGACCCTACCAGAGCTGGCATCTGCTACTTCTACCCAGAAGAGGTATGGTGACACCAGAGAGAGAGAGGAAAGCAGCATTAGATAATAAATCTGTTATATAAACAGATGTTTAAGTGTGAATTAATGGGCTTTGTAAGGCAAGCATCAGGTCATGCTTCAGAAAACATGGAACGGTTCATTAAATCGGCAACATTTGAGCATCCATGCTGATGTCAGCCTGGGGCCTGATAAATTAATACATGCATGTTGGTTTTAAATGTCACAGATTATCAGAGGTTATTAGCTGTTCAGTCAGATACACTCTACGGACAAAAGTATCAGGACACCTGGCCATTACACCTACAGGAAATTTTATGACATCCCATTCTAAATCCATAGGCATCAGTATGGAGTTGGTCCCCCTTTTGCAGCTGGCACTCTTCTGGGAAGGCTGTCCACAAGATTTTGGAGTGTGTCTGGGGACATTTTTGCCCATTCATCCTGAAGAGTATTTATGACATCAGGCACTGACGTTGGGCATGAAGGCCTGTCTTGTCATCTCCATTCATCCCAAAGTTGTTGAATGGGGTTGAGGTCAGGGCTCTTTGCGGGCCAGATAAGTTCTTCCACACCAAACTTACTGTTGGAGTCAGACTCCGCTGGGTCCGTTGATGAGAAGAGATTCACAGCACAGTCGAGGAGTAGTTGCAAGTCACGAGTTTATTCTCTGACAGATTCTAATCAGGGAGCGACTATCTGACATACATTCAGCATGTACAGCAAGAAGCTCGAACCCTAGGTATCAGCTCTGTCCCTTTATTGGCCTTCTGGGGTGTTGCCCCCCTTCTCGGTACTTTTCCATCTACGTGACTACAACATATTTTGACATTTGCTCTAGTTAGTCAGTGAGTACATGTTCCCCCCTTTTTGTTAAGCAAAAGTTAAAAGAAGCATCGGTTATATGATGGGTTCCTGTTTTCCCGTTGTCTGGGATGAGGTCACCCTGACCTGCTCGCCCTTTGTCAGTTCCTGATTTTTCCCAACTGCATGGGGTGAGATCACCCCATCCTGCCGGCCTAGTATCAGTTCCCATGTCTATTGTCTGCATTATGTTAGACGCTGTATTATTATAAATTAGTAGTTGCATTATTGTATAATTAACCCCTCATCACCCAACCATGTTGTTATGGACCTTGCTTTGTGCACTGGGGCACAGTATGCTGGAATAGAAAAGGACCTTCCCCAAACTGTTCCCACAAAGTTAGAAGCATAGAATTGTCCAAAATGTCTTGGTAAGCTGAAGCATTAAGAGTTCCCTTCAGTGTAACTAAGGGGCCTGAAAAACAACCCCACACCCATGGGTGT